TGTCTCAAAAAAAAAAAAAAAAAAAGTCAAATCTATAGTCCTCTTCTGCATACAAAAGCTAATAAAGGCAATGTTAAGACACGCCTTCCTTTGGCAGAGTGCTGAGAGCACTCCCCTTCCACCTTCCAACCACAGAAATACTGAGGAGGCTAGAATTGGCCCCCCAGAAAAAGAGGCACTGTTACTCTGCAGATACAAAGCCCTATTCCCAAAGAGGGGTCCCACATGCAGGCAGACTCTGCTGGGGAAACACATACTTCATGGTGCTGAAATCCCCACATAAAACTTCCTCTTGTCCCATCAAACTATCTGAAAGTCCAGAGAATCCTAAAATTTAGACTCTGAGACAGGAAAGGAATGCTCTGGTCCCTTATCAGGCCCATAGTCTGACAAAGGTACCTATGCCCAGGCTGAGGTCTCACAGAACTGTATCCCTGTTTTATTCATGAGTAAACTTAACTCTAAGAGTTTGAAGGATTCTCCAAAACTGCTAAGAAAAGTATGTGACTAAGCAGAGGCCATCATCAAGAAGGCCCTGAGTGTGACCTGCATACCGTAGCCGCCATGGCTGGCCACTGAGAGGCATGTGCAGCCATCAGGAGCATGCGTTTATTCTAAAATTAAGACAAAAACTTGATTTCAAATTCACTCACCTAATATGAAGCTAAGGAAGGTAGCATTTAAGCAAAAGTGTAAGATTATGTTTCTTTTGGTTGAGTGAGGGCCCTTTATAACTAAGTTTCTGACCAAGCCACATGACTTGGTCAAGGGTGTGAACAATTATTTTCCTCCTTTCCCCCCTAAATAAAGCAGAGATTGTGATTCATAATATACTCTCCATCAAACAGAACCTTGGTTTTCTTTTTTAACAGGTAAAGAACATACCTCCTCCCTGCATCATTTTGTAGATTTTGCTCTCGATGTGAAGCTGAGGATGTTTGGTTTTGACACATTCAAGCTTGATGGCAACTTCTTCTCCTGCAGCAATGTCCGTACCTTGCCAAAGAAAGCAAGCCACAAAGATAAATTACCTGCTGTCCATCACCTACACCAACATTACAACAAGCTAGAGAAAAGCACTATTTCAACTTTCCAAAAAAACCTAGATGATAGATACTCTCTAATTTCTAACAATAACGTAGTATAACTGGTTGGCAAATCTCTGTGGGAAATTATCCTTATTTTTACTTCACAACAGGAAGCATTAGAAGTGTATAGAATGTCTATTTAGGATTCTACCACCCCTTCCACATACCCCACTCTGTCAGTCAGAGCCCTCTGAGGCCACCTTTCTGGTCTGTACCCTCCCACCAGCCATGTCCAGTGGCTCCTGCACTCATCCACCTGGGCAGAGTTTCTGGACGACTCTGTGTTCCTATGCCCCACTACTTCAAACAGCCCTTGAGAGTGTGTCTGAGCCTCTCTCTTGGAGAGTTTTTACCAAACAGCCACAATCTCAGTCTACTCTGGCCTGGCATTGTTTTGTACACACCTTAACAGGCAGTTCTCACATGGTTTCAGTCCCCACACAGCCACAGGTTTGTGTCAACCCATTGCAGGCCTGGCAAAAACCCTCAACCAGACCATGGGATGCCCTTCTCCCTTCCTTAGGACAGAACTGTTTTTGTCTTCAAAACCCCAACTACGGGCGGTGCCTATGGCTCAGTGGGTAGGGCACTGGCCCCATACGCTGAGGGTTGTGGGTTCAAACCCAGCCCCAGCGAAACTGCAAATAAAAAAATACCCAGGCATTGTGGTGGGCCCCTGTAGTCCCAGCTACTCAGGAGGCTGAGTCAAAAGAATCTCCTAAGTCCAAGAGCTGGAGATTGCAGTGAACTGTGATGCCATGGCACTCTACCGAGGATGACAAAAGTGAGACCCAGTCTCCAACTAACAAGAAAAAACAAACAAACAAACAAAAAAACAACTACACCATTTGTGCAAAACACACTGGGCACACACCTCCTGTCAGTCTGGGGCTAAAACTGTGAGGACTGGCTTATGAGCTTGGAAGCAAAATTACAGTTATCTAGAAATGTCCTATCTCTCTGCTTTACTCCAATAAGAAACTACAGGTCTGGGTGGCGCCTATAGCTCAAGCAGCTAAGGTGCCAGCCACATACACCAGAGCTGGCGGGTTCGAATTCGGCCCAGGCCTGCCAAACAAGGACAACTACAATTAAAAAATAGCCAGGCGTTGTGGTGGGTGCCTGTAGTCCCAGCTACTTGGGAGGCTGAGGCAAGAGAATCGCTCAAGCC